AGATGAGAAAACAAATATCCAGCCAGGCAAGTTGGCTCATACCTGTAATCCTTGCTACTCAGGAGGCTGTGATGTGAGAATCCAAGCTAGCTAGTCCAAGACTCTTATCTCCAATTAGCAAACAAAAGCCAGAAGTGAAGCTCTGGCTCAAGAGATAAGAGCACTAGCCCTGAATAAAAGAACTCAAGGATAGCACTCAGGCCCCAGGAGCAGCAAGTGCACACAACATCAAGAGATTAATTTGCCCAGTAACACAAGTGGTAATGCTGAAACTGGAATTAGCAGAGAACATCAAGTCTGGTGGTTTAAGGGGAGAAGACCAAGGATCAAGGAGACTAGGAGAGGGATTTCTAATTGTGCCTTCCCCAACCCTGTGCTGGGAAGATCATTCTTAACCATGGCAAGGAGTGTGGTGCCAAGCTAGCTAGCTAGATGTTACACTGAGGCAGCACCAGAAGCCAGTTAAATTATCTTACATGTTCAGTCAGATAGCCACATTGAAAATTCCCAACTCTCTAACTAGAGCTTGGAAGCAAATAAATCCTATATCCCCTTAAGGTTAAATTTCATTGTCTTCTTTACAGAATGTAATTAAGAAGAAAAACAAGGCATTAACATCAATAACATTAGGTGTTCTCCAAAAAATTGCACTAAAAAAAGCTCCATGTCAAAAAGCTTTCAGAGTTTATTAATCCCTTCTTATAATTGAGCAAAGCCAAAATACCCGATTCATTTGTAGGAAGGTTCTGACAGCAACTTGAGTGGGAAATATTCCAGGAAGAAAACTTTACATTACTGATCAATTTTGTCATGTACAGTAATAGATCCATAGATGTATGTTTTCCACTCAGTATCTTCCTTAAAAGATGCTAGAGCTACTCTTAGGGAGGAACACAAAGATGAAGTATTTATCAAAATGAATCCTAGGAAACGGGAAAAAATGTTACAAATGGCTATCAGTATTTGAAAACATGAATTTCAATTCCTACCCACATTATTAAAACTGATTCAAAACGGATAGTCCTACAGGAGTTCAAATGACAAGTCTGCTTAGAATATAAAGGAAAGCTTGTGTGTGTATGTGCCAATATTGGGGCTTGATTTCAGAACCTTTTGCTGTCCCTGAGCTTCTTTGTTCAAGTCTAGTAGTGCTTTACCACACAAGTACTTCTGGCCTTTTAGGTGGTTAATTGTGCATGAGTTTCAAGGATTTCCCCATACCAGCAGGCTTCAAACAGTGATCCTAAAATCTCAACCTCCTGAGTAGCTAGTATTATAAGCTTGAGCCACCGATGCCTGACAAAAGAAATCTTCAAGACCATGAAATAGGCAGTCTTGATAGGTTACAGAAAGTAGTAAGAACCATTAACAAGTTTTGATATTAGAGTTTGTTTCTCAAGGAAAACAAAAATGACTTGACAAGACTGATGACTAAAAGGATATGACATTATCTAACTGCTTGTATCCAGAATATGTAAAAGAAAATTGTACATTTGAAAAACAGGCACAACTCCATTCTTAAAAAGGACAAAAGTCTGAGTCAATTTATGACTTAATCGGATGAAAAATTGACTAGGATGCCATGCATACGGATTCTGGAACACAAAAGAGGGCAATAGAAAATGTTGAATCTAACGTATAGAGTGAAATAGTAAATGTTAACTATACCAAACACATAAGATATTCTTTCTTGCTCACAGTTGGCTGTAGCTATACTACTTGGGCCATGTCTTCAACCTGGCATTTTCCTGATTAGTAGTTGGAGATGGAGCTTTATTGACTTTTCTCTGTATTAGCTAGCTTTGAAATGCAATCCTATAGGTCTCAGCCTCCTGAGTAGTCAGGATTATAAGCATGAGCTACTGATACATGGCTCCAAAGTTTACTTTTTGTCAGTCGTGGGGCTTGAACTCAGGGCCTGAGTGCTGTCCCTCAGTTCTTCAGCTCAAGGCTAGCGCTCTACCACTTGAGTCACAGCACCACTTCTGGCTTTTTCTGGTTATGTGGCGCTGAGGAATCGAACCCAGGGCTTCATACATGCAAGGCAAGCACTCTACCACTGAGCCACCTTCCCAGCCCCCAAAGTTTACTTTTTAAAGAAATGTTTAGTATCACACAATGTTCAAAAGGTTGCTATAGAGCAACTAGAATTCTCAAATTTTCAATGATGAACTTCAGGGAAAACAAACTTGTATTCAAGTTTCAAGTTAAATGTCATCTAGCCTATCACTCCAACTTAGATTTATCAAAAAAAAAATGCACCCACAACCTGTACAAAAATATTTGTAGCAACATCAATGGCCAAATACTGATATCCATCACTAACAAATGCATTTCAAACAATGGAATTCCACTTGGCAATAAAAATTAGTAATACGTAATACATGAATTATTCGTAGGTAGATGATTCTCAAAGTCATGTCGAAAACAGGTAGACAATATAGTCAAAAACAGCAAGCTGGGTGCCGGTGGCTCATGCCTGTTGGAATCCTAGCTACACAGGAGGCTGAGATCTGAGGATCAAGGTTCAAAACCAGCCCGGGCAGGAAAGTCCGTGAGACTCTTATCTCCAATTAACCACTAGAAAACTGCAAGTGGCACTGTGGCTCAAGCAATAGAGCGCTTGCCTTGAGCTGAAGAGCTGAGGAATAGCACCCAAGCCCAGAGTTCAAGCCCCATGACCGACAAAAAAAAAAAAACCAAACAGCTAGACAATAAAAATCAATCTATCAGGGGCTGGGAAGGTGGCTCAATGGTAGAGCGCTTGCCTTGCATGCTAGAGGCCCTGGGTTCAATTCCTCAGCACCACATAAGCAAAAAGAAAAAAGCTGGAAGTGGCACTGTGGCTCAAGTGGTAGAGCGCTAGCCTTGAGCTGAAGAGCTGAGGGAGAGCGCTCAGGCCCAGAGTTCAGGCCCCACTACGGGACCCAAAAAAAAAAAAAAAAAAAAAAAATCAATCTATCAGGGTGTTCTATCAACTGGAAAGGGGCATAGAAATTTTTATAAAGAACCTTGGTTTTGCCTGGCACTGGCCCCCATTCAATCCCCAGTACTGATGCACATACACAAAAAGAATGTATCTCCATGTGAGCTTTTCTCAAGACTGAATGATTAAGTTACACACAAGGTCTGTGCAGTTCACCATAATCTAGCACCTAATTATATATTCATTATACTTTCTAAAAATTGTTGCTCATCATTCCTGACAAAATACCAATATAAACCATAATGCACATACAAGGGCTAGATTAAATGTCATCAAGTAGTAACCTTAACGCATGCACCTTTGATTGAGTCAATTACAACTTTCCCCAATCAAGCAAGTCTATACCTGCTTTATATAGTGACTTAGCATTCACAGCACCTTCACTAATAGCTAAACCTAAAATCAGAACAAGGGGTCTATTAGTAACCACTATACTACACTCATTCTCAGCAGCCAACACTGAATAACTAGGCACCAGTGACTGACACCTGTAATCCTAGCTGCTCAAAGCTGAGATCTGAAAATTGAGGCTCAAAGCCAACCTGGGCAGGAAGTCCGTGTGACCTATCTCCAATAAATTACCAAAAACCTACAAGTTGAGCTGCAGCTCAAGTGGTTCAAGGACTAATCTTTAACAAAAGTTCAAGGAGTGCCTAGGCCCCAAGTTAAGCCCCAGGACCCGCGCACGCGCGCAAACACACACACACATACAAGCACACATACCACATACTCTCAATCTTTAAAGTTTTTCTGGAAAAGCTTTACACTTCAAGGCTCCTCCTTTATCAGGTATTGTCAGAAGGGTCGCAAGTCAACTGAGATGATAGCAATAATCTGTATTTTTTTCTTTTTTTGCAGGTCATGGGGCCTGAACTATGGGCCTGGGCACTGCCCCTCAGCTCTTCAGCTCAAGGCTAGCACTCTACCACTTGAGCCACCGCCACTTCCGGCTTTTCTTTTTGCTTATGTGGTGCTGGGGAACCGAACCCAGGGACACATGCATGCAAGGCAAGCGCTCTACCACTGAGCCACCTTCCTCCCAGCCCCAATAATCTGTATCTTGATGGAGTACACTTACCAAAACATTTCATTACTAACCTCAAACCTAAACCCGATCTTAAGGTAATTTTTCCAAACACATGGTGCACAAATAGAATGGCAATACTAAGGGCTATCACCTTAATGGTTTTGGCTGCATTCTTTAGCCAAATGCATGCAACTTTCTGGTACAAATGAAGAGACTGAATTGTTTTGATTTAAAACTCCTTTATACAACACTTTCTTTTTTTTTTGGGGGGGGGGGGTTCCGGTCGTGGGGCCTGAACTCTGGGCCTGTGTGTTGTCCCTCAGCTCTTCAGCTCAAGGCTAGCACTCTACCACTTGAGCCACAGCGCTACTTCCGGCTTTTTTTTCTTTTTGCTTATGTGGTGCTGAGGAATCGAACCCAGGGCCTCAGGCATGCAAGGCAAGCACTCTACCACTGAGCCACATTCCCAGCCCCTATACAACACTTAAAGATAAAAAAATGAAAAATTACATCAAGAAACTTAAAACTACATGCAACTATTGCAGTACATTGTGTGTTGTATCAACACCATCAGTGAAGGACTTTAGTCCGAAGGGAATTCACTGTCATAAATGAACTAACTTCGTGCCACCCTTCCTCTCTCCTAAAAAAAATAAGCATTTAAGAGGTAAAACCACAATTGGAGACTCTCGAGAATGCTATTCTTTCCTCCCTACTGTGACTACTCAATGGAACCATCTCTTTTACTTTAACATGTATCTGTTAATGAAACCATCTCTATTACTATAACATATACCTGAAGTTCTTTCTTCATAAAGAAAGCCTAATCACATGTAATGACCATGCCCCCCTCCCAACCAAGGGCCAGCAGTGCACTCAGAACTAATGTTTGGGAGAAAAGAGACATAATATGAAAGTAAAAGTATATATATATATATTCATAATTTCAGAAAATGTGAATAAAAAGAACCCACTGTCACAAAAGGATACATGTTAAAAGTTTTATTAGGTTTCAATACAAAAACATTCCAAAAAGTGATCTATAATACCTAAATTCTATGTTTATCTACTAAACAAGGAAAAGATTTTTTATCATTCTTTTACAACCAGCAAAAATAATGAAGACCAATTCTTTTCCCAATGGGAGAATTAATCCTGCTGGGTCAGTCAGTAAACCACTGATCAGTTGTATTTAAGCATATTCCTTAAATTTAGTATTCATACTTACTACAATTAGTTTCTCTATTTTATACTATAACTAAGATATCTAATCTAAATCTAAATAAAATCTCAAGAGCCAAAAGGTCCTCATAGAAGCACCTAACTCAAGTAGAAGATTATGGAAGGCTTGAGCTAAGATAGCTTTTCAAGTGCAACTACTGAAATTTGGTCAATACCCTCACAGTCTGATTATGAATGTGACCAATGAGGTTTAAATTTTTTGCATATTTTCCCCAATCACAAGTGTTAAAAACATGATAGTTATTTAAGCTGCTATGCAAAAAATTTCCGAAGTTGAATTGCTTCCTTCAACGGAGCAACTCAATTCCTTTTCCTTTGAGCACATTAGCATTTAACATTATTGACTAGTTTCCAAAGCATTAACTGGAGTTGTACTGTAACAATTTGTTTCTGTGACTAGGAGTTGAGATAAAGTAGGCTTATGAAATAAACAAGTGGCCTAATTTTGTTTCCAGTTTCAAGTGTGCTATCATCTCAGCAATGTTTCCAGTTAAGTTTCATTTCCCTTTATTATTCCTCCCTCATTTTGGTTTTGCCATACAACTACGCGTTCTTGATAAGCTAGTTTCACCAGACACTACTGGATAAAACATACCACTTATGCTTATCCACTTTCTGATAGGCATTATCAGAAACTTCTTTTTGACAGTGCTAGGGATTAAACCCAGAGTGCTTCGTAGTATGCTAGACCCCTGCACTTCTGAGTGAGTATACAGCCCCAGCACCTAATTTATCATTCTGAAATTCAGTGGTAATTAGTTTTGGATATTAAGAGTTGTCGCCTTAACTTTAAGGTAACAAAAGCAAAGCCAAAGCTTTAAAAATCTTCATGAAGAGCCACATACATTTACTGGGTACCTCCTCCACTTACCAATTTCTGTTTCCCTTCTACCACTAAATCTTTACTGCTCCCTAGTTACCAACATGGATGCCTCCCTCAGATCCACAAGAACCCTCAAAAAGACAAAAATAAAACCTATTGCCTGCACCAAACCAACTGTGATGAGCACTGTTACGCAGCTGTTGGGATAATCAGCATTCTTCTGCTTCAGCAACTCTGTAAAAAAAAAGCACAAGATCAGGTTACAAGGTATTCTGTCAGGCAACATCCTCCATATCCTCCATTCTTAAATTTGTTGCTTCAACTGTGAAGAAAAATATTTGCTCAGATGCTTTAAAAGGCAGCCATATTAATCATCATTACTGTAAGCATCAGCTCTGTTAATATTAAAATTCAATACTGTGTGTTGTCATTATGCCAGTAAAATTACCTTACTCAAACTTGGAACCTGCAATAGCTCCTATGAGTAATTACAGTCATTTCAGATTGTGGCTGTGCAAATGAACAGGCACTGATAGCATGCCTGGGAGCAAAGATGAACTCTCACAAGCTTGCTCATCTACCAAAGCATTAACTACACAGCTTCTGTCAAAGAAAACACAAACTCTCACATTATGACGATATTAGCAATTGGTTTGAAAACAGCTAAGAATATTGCATGACAGGTACATGAATGGAAATATGCCTACATAACCTCATTGCACTCAACTGACAAGCTAAAAAGAACTTCATCCTTATTTACAATGTGACCATCACTCTCTTTCTACAAAGGATCCAAACAAAAAATATAAAGCCAGGAGTTGGTGGCTCACGCTTGTGATCCCAGCTACTTGGAGGCTAAGATCTGAGGATTGCAGTTTGAAGCCAGCCCTGGCAGAAAGTCTGTAACTCTTACCTCTAATTAATCACAGCCAAGCTAGAAGTGGTGCTGTGGTTCAAAGTGGTAGAGCACTAGCCTTGAGTGGAAAAAAAATTTAGCACCTAGGCCCAGAGTTCAAGCCCCAACCAACCAAAAGAAGTGCCAACATCATAGCCCATCAGTGGGACAGAGCACTAAAATATTTCAAGGGTACTCTTTCAAAAACCTACCTTAGCATTTCATTTCTCTTGCTGCTAGCTTTATCTACTGTGAATAAACCAGCACTCCTTGACAAAAATGACCATAAGGTTCAACCTGTAAAAATTAAATAAAAACTAGTTATCTCTCTTAAGGAAATGCTTTAAGATTTGCCTATAACTGCCCTCTTTTCCAGAAAGGAAAGCTATGTTCAGACTTGCAGCTTAATGCATTACTTCATGTTCTACTACTTCTCTTAAGTGGTGGAAGATTCACTGGCTTGGAATGGACTGGAATGGCTTAAATGGTTAAGTTGCATGGCTTATGGATTCTCATTCTGTTCCAATGGTGCACTGCCACGTTAAATCCATAAGTTGAACGGACAAAACATTATTTGAAGGAATAAGTGCAGTTTAAGGATTTTTAGTTGGAGGTCTTCAAGTTTATTATATTCAAGAGCATCTTTTTCAACTTCATGGCTGGACCTGGGTCATGCTGCCTCAGGTTTTGCTTTTTAAAGACCACTTGCAATAGATTTTCTCCATACAGTGTAGTTTCACAACTAAAAACAAGTCAGGCATCCAACTAAAGGTCAAGTTTGCAATGGCTTTTTAGGGGTAGTGAGGGGGACCCCAAACCTAAGCCATTTCTTATATTGACTAAAAGACTAATTTGAAAAAAAAAAAGTGTAAAACATTATGAAGCATGTTTAAAGGTCTTCATCGAAAATACTTTAAAAAATACCCCCTCCCAATCCCAACTGCTATCGGTAAACAGCTTGTATTAAGGCCTTTAACTGTCATACATGCTTTTTTTTAAATCCAAGTGTTGAATTTGGAGGACTTCTAATATGCTATTGAACATTTCCTTTTCCAAAAGTTTTTTTTAATCTAGAAGGCATTTCCACTGCCATGAAGTACAGTATGTTTCACTGTACTATGAGGAAGGTAAGTGTTCAATTTCGACTTAGACGGAAAAACTAGTTTGCTTTGCTTACCATCTTTGCTGTTTCACAGGCATTTGATGCTTTAAATCTGATGTGGAATGCTGATAGATTCACTTTTTAGAAGTCATAAGCCTTTAGGAAGTTGGAGATAACTTCATTGCTTATCTATTTTCTCCTTTGCAATCAAGCTGTTCCTTTAAAAGTGAGACACTACAGAGTTGCAAAAATTTGAAACAGTAAGAGCAAGCATCGTTTGCAGCTTCATGGTTGGTTTTGGCCAAACTTTTTATTTAGTATTCTGTAGTTGTTTAACACACACTTAAATGGTCTTACTGGGGGAGGGGAAAGGGGAGGCTCTTGCAGATTCCTAAGGAAATGTCAAAAGACAATATATGGCCAGCATTATCCATTGTTGGTTTGCTTGTTTTTTTGGGGGGGTTTACTGGGTGAGTAGCACTTTGCTAACAGGTATCTGATCTCAGGTTTTTCACACTGAGAACATTGAGATTTCAGTTGGAAGACACCCTGAAATCCTAAGAGGAGTGTACCCCGACCACCCTCTAAGAGCTAGCTTATCTGTATAGGCAGGATGATTCATCTCTCAATGGAGACCAATGTATATCTAGGTGGCCAGATGTTTGTGGAAGATCTGAGAATTGCTTGCCTCACTTACTGGGAAAAGTAGATAGGAAGTGGCCTTTAAGTTGGAAAATTACAACACTAGTACAAGTCTTACACACTTAACATTTGCTTATTGAAAGCAATTTGTAATAACAAATAAAATTAAACATGTGTAACTTTTTTTCCTCACAAGAACATAAAAATTATGAAGGGGAACTTAACAGGAAAATTTTAAAAAGCTAACACAATTTTTTCCTTTTAGTAGTCCTTGGGTAGTTATGACAGAATAGTTTCCACTTTTGTTTTGTTTCTTTGAACGGGGATTTTGGTCCAAAGTTTTGTTTGTTTCTAGTATCTGCTTCTGCCTCCCCCTCTATCAGATCGGCTTCCTCCACGGCCACCACCTCTTGGTGCTCCGCGGCTTGAACTGCTGTAGGAATCACGTGGAGGAGGGTACCCCCTTTCCATAGAAGGGGGAAGCCCTCGTTCTTGTCTGCCAACCCGATCACGACCACTTGAGTAGAGATCACTTCGGCTGCTTGAGTAACTGTCTCGACTTCCACCATATCCGTCTCGTGAGCTGCTGTAATCATCATAGCGACTGCTTCCACCATAAGATGGCGGGGGCCCTCGTGTAGGTGGAGCACTACGTGAGTTACCTGCAGGGTCAATGGTCAGGTAATATGGCAACACTATAAATTGTATATATACAACATTTAAACCTGAATTTACAGAATTCTTGTATTCTAAGTTTACTTTCTTAACTGGGAAGTTTTAAACTCTACCATTGCTGGCCATAATGGGGATTTGCTCATCTGCTGAGATATGGAAATGGATTGATTTTAATGTTTGTTTGAAAAGACTGAAGACGGTGTGTATTTCAAGAGGATATTCCAGACAGCTTGTTATTTTATAGTAGACACTCGGCCACTTTCCAGTGATAAGTTGCAATTGTGAACTGTCGAGTTTCCGTCATATTGCAATGGTAAACATTTGATCTTGTTAATAAAAATGTTTTTAATTGTATTTTTCACTGTTGGGGGAAAACACATAAGGCTGCCAATTTTAAGCAAGCAAAATCCCCTCCAAAGCAAGCGAACAGCCTCAAAGGAAAAAAAATTAAAAATAAAATAAGTGAAAAAAAATTGAAAAAACAAAAGCCCTTCACAAAACTAGGAAAAGCCCAGCTTGATAAAGTTATCCCTTTAAATGCAAGCAAAGGTCCCTTTTAAAGCAAGCACCACGCAGCCTATAAAACCAGCTCATGAACCTAAAATCTCAAGCTGGTGATAGTCAAGACCCTTAAACAGTATCTTACCATAACTCTCATATGAATCTCTGTAGGAGCCTCCACTTGGATGATCTGAATAGTCACGATCCCGACCATATCCATCTCGATCACTAAATTAGAAACAAAACGTTTAAATGCCCAACCACCTTCTCCCAGCTGTTCTTTTACAACCAAGCATAGAAGCAACCACTTACCTATAGCCTCTTGACGGATAGTCATCACGTGAACTGGAATGACCATAATCACGGTAAGTGTAATCTCTTGGAGGTGGCGCATAATCTCTTGTGTCCCGAGAACTTGGGTAATCTCTACTTGAGTAGCTACAGAATCAAAAGTCATTTGGTTTGTTTTGGATGAGCTATCCATCAACATTACTAGTAAAAAAAAAAAAAAAAAAGGACTACTGAAAAAAGGTACACTTTGATCTTACCTATCTTTAGTAGAATATCCATCATCTCTTGGGGACAAATAAACATCTCTTCGAGAAGGCAGGGGTTCCCTTCGGGGTGGGCCTCCATAACTGTCTCTTCCACGTGATACAGGGGCTTAGGGGAAAAACCATTTTATAAATAGTCAAAGACAAAAGTTAAAATGCAAACTAACTCACATTCAGCTTATGAAAAGTGGAGATTTAATAAAATGTGGTAATAGCGAGATCAAGAAATTTTCTTTTCTAGAATTTCCTGACACCTTCCTTTCTGTGCTCAATAACTGTACTACTAGACCATCTGGAATCAATTTTTCAACTCAGTTCTCTTTTAGTAGCAGCAGATTATTATTTCAAATATTTACCTCTCCCTCCCATTCCACTGCTGCTGCGAACTGGTCCTGAAGGTGCTGATCTCTTAGGAGGAGGACCCCCACTTCGTGGTGGCGGTCCTCTTTTCACTGGAAGAGGTCCCCTGGAAGAACTCATGTTAAAATTCATGGAATAGCCACCATCATCTACATTAGAAGAGAAAAAAATATATTTAACAGTCACAATCCAGAACACCTCTAAAAAAATTCTTTTCATTCTTTCCTGCTTAGCTAGGGAGTATAGCTTCAGTTTTTCAATGATAAAAGACCACTATAAACTGAGAAGATTTAAAAACAAACGGCAGAGTTGGGAGTTAGCTGTTAAAAGCACAGGGCTTGACTATTAGGCTCCAAAGAAAATAAAAGGCACTTCTAATGTTATTTCCAAGACACAAAACCATTTCATTTTTCTTACGTTTAATACCTATGACTGTTCAAAACAGACTTTTCTTACAGAACATACTCCTTATATAATAGTATGTAAATTAATAATTTAGGAGGTCTTTCATTGTTTTTTTTCTCCCAAAGTCACAATCATTTCTTTTTTTTCCAGTCCTGGGAACTGAACTCAGGGCCTAGGAGCTGTTCTTGAGCCTTTTTTGCCCAAGGTTAGTACTCTACCACTTGAGCCCCAGAGCCATGTGAGGCCATTTCTGTTTCTGTGGAACTAAGGAATGTAACCCAAGGCTTCATGCATGGAGACAAGCACTCTACCACTGTTGCATTTCCAGCCTCCACACCCATTTTAGTAGATAAGGCTAGTGTTCTCAATTTTAAAGCCTGAATTCTTTCAAAAAGCGTAGGTTTCAGTTCCCTAAGCCCCAAGTCCACAAGTCATTACCCATGTGTCCTCCACGTGAGGGAGGTCCTCTAGTTCCACCACTTCCTCCTCTTCCTCCTCTGAGACCTCTGGGAGGACCTCTGCTTCTTGGAGGTGGAAGAGGTCCACGCCTACCACTTTCAAATGATGGTTTGGTGGCTTGTTCCACCTTGATGGCTTTTCCATCTAAGGACTTAAATAACAGTTAAGTTTTGTTAAATTTTAAAAAGGACTTTGCAGACTCACTATGACAAGTAGGCCTCTAAAATTATATATATTCAAATTACATATAAATATGTTTGCTCATCAAGTATTCAAGAAATATGCTATCAGCCTAGCACTAGTAGCTGACACCTGTAATGTAGATACTCAGGAGGCTGAGGTATGAGGATCCTGGTTCAAAGCCACTCTAAGGAGGTAAGTTCATGAGACTCTTGTCACCAATTAACCCACCAGAGAACTCAAAGTGGAGCTGTGAGTCAAAGTGGTAGAACACTATCATTGAGCCATAAAAGCTCAGACAGTGCCAGAGTTCAAGCCCCACAACCAAAGTAGAAATATGCTGCAAACAGTTTATAAATGACACTTCCATTTACTTAACATACCTACTCAGCCATTAAGAGTTTATACTGATGATCTCAATCACAGGAATAGATGGAGTCACTGCACTGTTCATGAAAATTTAAAACCACAGTACAGTTATTAGCTTATCATGAAAACTAATGAACCACAGATCTAGGTTATCAAATTATGGATTCTAAGATACCATGCATTAACACATACATATAGCATACACTATCTTGAACTTAAAGAGACTGTTGTTGGGAGATAGCAATGCTACTCATTAAGGTAACTCACCTTTCCATTCATGTCTCTGGCTGCATCCTTAGCATCTGCTGGACTTTCAAAGGTGACAAAAGCAAATCCTCTTGATTTGTTTGTTTCACGATCTTTCATCAAAAGTACTAAAAACAGTTTATGTTTAAAAAAAAGGTGTTATTCCAGTTTAAAGGATTTAACAAAAGCACATCTGTAAAGAGAAAGCTCAGAACTTCTTAGAGGACAAAATATCATGTCAGACGATCAGTGCATTTATATTCATCACAGCTTATGTTTTCATTATAATAACCTACGATATACTTTAGATGAACTCACCTTCCACTATTCGCCCATATTTGCCAAATACTGCTTCAAGGGCTTTTTCATTTGTTTCTGTATTAAGCCCACCAATGAAGAGCTTTCCTGGGCGATCTGCTTCAACCATTTTTTTTCCTGGCGAGTAATACTCTGTTTTAAGAAAAACATTATTGAGTCCCAGAGAAAGTTCTTTAAGTTTATCCAACAATTCAAATAGCTCCTGTTGTACCAAACCCTTTAGTAACTAAAGACAGCGATAATCTTCCAACACAGTTAAGGAACCAATTTAAAAATAAGTTTGCGACTTCACATTCAAGTAGATGCAAACGCCGGTCTAAATTTACCATTACCCTGAAATCTCCCTTGGCTGTCTTTTATTATTAACAGCCATTTAACATTTGAAAGGCCACATTTTCCTCTCCAGCCTAGATTTCGTTATTTAGTTACTTACTCACCAAAAGTCTCGCTCGCCCAACCCCACCTCATTCCTGCAGTGATGGGTTTTAAAAGACTACGGACTCATTCAAGGTCACTGGCCAGATGCAGCAACTTAACACCAAGCCCCTTTTCTCAAGGCTCTCCTTTTTCTCCACACGATTTCCTAGGAAGTCTAAGCAAAGATCCGAAGTTTGAGCCAAGTTCTGCCTCATCTTTTGCAAGCCCCCTCCCCCCACCACCACCCCCAACAAAAGGTTACTGCCAGACTTAAAAAAAAATTAAAAACATCCCTTCATATTAAATCACGAAACGCAAAAGCGCATATTCTAACGCTCAACGCGCCCAAGACCGTAGCGGAACCTAATTAAGACTCACGTTAAAAACCGCGTGGAATAGACAAAATGGCGACACTTGGATTCAGCCCAGCACAACCGACAACCAATCAAGGAACTAACTTAAAAAAAAAAAAAAAAAACCAACACTGACTGGGAAGAGTCAAAAGGCTTCCTCTCTGCGGCCGCCGCTGACCCAGGAAGCTGCCGCCAAGTCCACATGCCCCACGCGAGCGGCCGCACCGTCCCAGGCAGGGACGCCGGTGGCGCGGTCGCTCCCACGCCCGCGCCAAGCCCACAAAGCGCTGACCTCCGCCCCCACTCCCGCAGGCGACAGCCAAACTTTCACCAGGCACGCCCCTCCACGTACCCCCTAAGTGCTTTCTCCTCACCTGCTCACCTTTCTATAGGTCGGCACCTTCGGGGCTCTTAAAATGGCGCCCGCCACCCCCATCTCCAGGGAGATAATCTAAAGCCGTAACGTGGCCAAGTATGCGAGAAACACACCAAAGAAAGGAGACACGTACCGGAGAGGGTGGCGACGGGCCCAAGCTCCTACGAGCTCGCCGACCGGACCTTCCAAACAGCGCGGCACCAAAAAATATATATATATGTATATGTATATATGACAGCTATCGAGACCCGGAACCGAACGGAGATGCCGCTAGCACTACTGCGCAACGAGGGCGAACAAAGGAGACAGCAAACTTTATACTACCCGGGAACGAGGCTGAAGAACCCGGATGGAAACGAAGCGTAGAATTTGAAACACGAAGGGAGGGGGAGTAGTTCCCAGCCTCCTCATTGGCCAGGCTGTTTGTCACTCACTATTCGCTCCTCCCATTTCCCAGGACTCCCGAGCGATGTAAGCCGGCGCCCGATTCTAACTGTCTTCCCTGCCCCCACCTATTCTCCCCAAAGGCGCGTTTTTGCTTTCTGCTAAAATGGTGCACCGGCTTGACTTAAGAAGTAAAATGTATCAAACGTCCAAGTGAACGAGGCAAGGTGGAAAACTTTACTTTGTACTTTTCCATACATTCTAAAGGCAAGAGGGTGATTTTCCACAACAGAAAACAAAGAACTTTGAGGATTTTTTTACCAAAATGATCTTAAACAAGAATTTTTAATGAACGAAACGCCTAGGCTAAATAAACGCCTAGTGAGAAGAAAACTTAGGAACAGCATGCAGGGAATTCATTTTAAAAAACAATTTAGTGAATACTTACTAAATGACAAGCTCTGGTGAGGTATTGTGAACACAACCCAAAACAAGTGATGTAAGTGCCAGGTGCACCTTCTTAAGGCTTCCAGGTTTACCAAATAAAAGCACAAGATTCCCAGTTTGAATATCACGAGGACTTTTTAGTGTTTACTCACAAAATGCAAGAAAACTTGTTTGCCTGAAAATCAAACTTAAGAGGACACTTTACATTTTTAATTTTTTGCCAAAGCTGAAGAACAAACTTAGGGCCCTGCACTTGCCAGGCAAGTGCTCTTCCACTCAGCTAAATCTCTAACCCCTTTTTTCCCCAACTTCTGTTTTTTTAATCTGCCCATGCTACTACACTAGATGCGGGAAAATACTTAAAATTTTTAATATTTCATTTTTAAAAGATTAACCAAAATAAATACAATCAATAACCACAATAAATGCATGGTGTAGCTACTACCAAGGAGGAAGTTAACTAGATCACTGAGTGAGCAATAATTAGGAAGATTGAATTGATTGAGACTTCAGAGAATGCCCATCTGAAGAGATGACTGAAAACTCAGAGCTGAAGGACGAGAAGAAACCGTGGGAACAGCTAAGGGAATTTTCCTTCAGAAGAGCTCTAAGCCCAGTGTAGAGGGAAAGAGCTTGGTGCATCAGGGACTGAAAGAGGGCCATGACCCCAGGGATTTTACTGAACATAAAATGAGCAAGCAGTTAAACAGGACCAGTGAGCCCATTAAAATATCTTAAGTAGGTAAGTCTGGAATCAGTAACAAACACTAACAAAACTGGGAGAAGACCATAGAGAGAGGATACTGCCTTGAACTAGAGTGGTAGCAGTGGACTTGGGTACGGAAGTGGAGACACAATTGCTCAATGTATGTGGAAAATGATGTGAACAGGATTTGCTAAGGAATGAGATAATGTTATCTTCTACATATTTGTGTCCCTTCCCCACCATTTCTTTGTTAAAAACCTTAAACCCCCAAGGACAGTACTAGCAGTATTAGGAAGGAGGTGGTGTCTTTGGGAAGTGATTACATCAAAGACATCCCTTATATGGGCTAGGAATGTGGCTCAGTGGTAGAGTGCTTGCCTAGCATGCATGAAGCTCTGGGTGAAGCCTTGGATTCGATTCCTCAGTACCACATAAACAGAAAAAGCCAGAAGTGGAACTGTGGCTCAAGGGATAGAGGGCTGACCTTGACCAAAAAAAGCTCAGGGACAGTGCCTGGGTCTGTGAGTTCAAGCCTCAGCACTGGCAAAAAAAAAATCTGGTATTACTGGACAGGTGGTGATAACCATTTATTAAACTGGCTGCTAAGGAGCAAGTTTCACTTGTGCAGATAGAGAAATCTGATGCTCTCGGGCTGGGAAGGTGGCTCAGTGGTAGAGTGCTTGCCTTGCATGCATGAGGCCCTGGGTTCAATTCCTCAGCACCACATAAACAGAAAAAGCCAGAAGTGGCGCTGTGGCTCAAGTGGTAGAGTGCTCGCCTTGAGCTGAAGAGCTGAGGGACAGTGCCCAGGCCAGAGTTCAGGTCCACGACCGGCAAAAAAAAAAAAAAAAGCAAGAGAAATCTGATGCTCTCAGTTGAGATTCTTTTTTTTAATAGAGATATTTTCTATATTGTCACCTTAGAAATAGTAATAAAAATCCATCAGAATGAATGGAGTTATTTAAAAAGGGGAGTGTCATGTGAAAAGAAAAGGTTTAATGTCACACAATATAAACTTAACATCATACAATATAAACTAGTGAAATATGTCCCTGGAGAAAAAAATCACTGGTAGGAAATGTGATAAAATGCTACTAATTTATATTGCAGTGGGTAATGGAATTCATGGACAAATTTCTCCAGAATTAAAATCGCCTGCCTGTGGAACTGCCCAGTAGGCAAGTGGATGAGTGAGTCTTACAATGCCCCAAATTATTTCTGAATCCCATCTTTCCTTTCTCGTTCTCCCCTTCCCCTTGCTACTTCTAGTCATACCTGTGGGTTGCTATTAACTGTAGTCAGATTTTCTTTTCTTTTTTTTTCCCCCAATCCTGGGGCTTGAACTCAGGATCTGGGCACTGTCCCTGAGCTTCTTTTTGCTCAAGGCTAGCATTCTACCACTTGAGCCACAGGGCCACTTCTGGCTTTTTCTGTTTATGTGGTACTGAGGAATCGAACCCAGGGCTTCATGCATACTAGACAAGCACTCTGCCACTAAGCCACATTCCCAATCCTCAGATTTTCTTTAAAATATATTTTTCCTTTGGTTTATGGTTTCTCTGTAGATATCCTCTCAGTGATTGATAGACTGAGTTAAGCAATATTACTTTACCTCTACATAAGCTTACAGTATAATCAATGCCAAATAAATGCCCACTTATTGACCAGCGAATTCTTTTTTTTTTTTGTTGTTGGTCGTGGGGCTTGAACTCTGGGCCTGGGCGCTGTCCCTCAGCTCTTCAGCTCAAGGCGAGCGCTCTACCACTTGAGCTACAGCGCCACTTCCGGTTTTCTGGTGGTTTATTGGAGATAGGAGTCTCACGGTCTCTCCTGCCCGGGCTGGCTTTGAACCGCGATCCTCAGATCTCAGCCTCCTGAGTAGCTAGGATTACAGGCATGAGCCACCAGCGCCCGGCTAACCAGCAAATTCTTATATTAGCATTAGATGGGTACAGAGTTAGATATTCAACGACTACTGGTAGCCTTGTTTGAAAGTGCAATTTATATATAAGGCGCTCATACTTTTTACTTTAAAAAAATTTTTAAAGAAAACAAAACCTCCATAGTTGTAAAAAACTTCATTCCATTCCATTCAGAGAAATAATCTATCATTCAAAATAACCTCTCATTCATTAAACTAGGGATCGCTTTGAGATGCATAAATTCAAGTTCTCCCATCATACTGGCTATTTTCAAAGAAAAAGATGTAGCATTATGCCTCTTCTCCCATCTACAGAAAGATAACCCTCCAACTCACTCTTCAAAAGTTTGTTATCTTCTTTGAAGCACAAAGGAGGAGGAGAGAAAAGAATGTGTGATTAGAGATTGGGAAACTGTCCAAACCACTTTAAGTAATCTACAGTTCAGAAGATAGCCTACTTAGCTACAAAAAGCAAGAAGAAACACTCTAAGTAGCTACTATCCACAAGATAGCCTACTTAGCTACAGAGCAAGAAATTCAACTTTTTGTTTTATCAACATGTCTGGTACAGTGTCTTTACTGGAACGGTTGACTAAATAAAATACAAGTTTACTATTTATTTCTCCATAATGAAGAGGGTTTTTTTTTTAATTGTTGCTTTTAGCAATAGTGGTGTTTGAACTCAGAGTCATTAGGCTTGCTAGGCAGGTGCTCTGCCACTGAAACCTGAACCCCAAAGATGAGGAATTTTAACCAAGTTAAATGTGCAATTAAAACTTTTTGCCAGGTGCTGGTGGCGCCTGTAATCCTAGCTACTCAGGAGGCTGAGATTTGAGGATCGTGGTTCAAAGCTAGCTTGAGCAGGAAAGTCTGTTAGACTGTTATCTCCAATAAACCACTCAGAAAACTGGAAGTGGTGCTGTGGCTCAGGTGGTAGAGCACTAGCCTTGAGCTGAAGAGCTCAGGGACAGCGCCCAGGCCCAGAGTTCAAGCCCCATGACTGACCAAAAAAAAAAAAAAAAAACCTTTTACAGGAAGGGACAGGGAATGGTGGACCTTTTAATAACTTAGCTTGACACAATGGGCTTTTGTTGTTTATTTGTTTGTTTGCCAGTTCTGGGGCTTGAACTCAGGGCCTGCACACTGTCTCTGAGCTTCTTTTGCTTAAGGCTAGCACTCTACCACTTGAGCCACAGTGCCACTTCCAGCTTTTTCTGCGTATGTGGTACTGAGGTATTGAACCTAGGGCTTCATGCATGCTAGGCAAGCACTCTACCACTAAACTGCATTCCCAGCCAGACACTGGTTATTTTTCAGATAAAGTCTTACTTTATGCCCAGGTTGGCCTGAACTGTACTCTTCCTGTTTGTACTTCTTTGCATTGTTGAGATGACAGTCAATATAATACCCAAACATTAGTTAAGGTGGAGTCTGGTGAAGCATGTTTTTTTTTTCTTTTGTTTTTGTTTTTGACCCAGGCTGGCTTTGGGTCATGATCTCTGGTTTACCACTCCTGAGGTAGCTAGGATTAAGGCTGAGTGAGCCACCACTCCCAAGTCTAGTATTTATTTATATATATATATATATATATATATATATACATATATATATATATATATAATTTTTTTTGGTCGGTCATGGGGCTTAAACTCTGGGCTTCGGGCGCTATCCCTGCACTCTTCAGCTCAAGGCGAGTGCTCTACCTACCTCTAGAGCCACAGCACCACTTCCGGTTTTCTAGTGGTTAATTGGAGATAAGAGTCTCATGGACTTTTCTGCCCGGGCTGGCTTTGAACCGTGATCCTCAGATCTCAGCTTCCTCAGTAGCTAGGATTACAGGCGTGAGCCACCGGCACTTGGCTTGTTTTTTATATATTACAACT